GACGCTTTAAAAAATCAAACCCAACGGAGAGGCTCATCTCTCACCAGATCAACAACACTAATGTTATACGTTTTCCCACCTCTAACCTTACCTTTGACTCCAAGTTTTGTTTATTTATGAGGCATTTCAGTGTTGGGTTTGGGTCATTTTATGTTTTTAAAGCTACAGTGTGTAACCTTTAGCGACATCTAGCGGTCAGACTGCAGCAACATGAACATCTCCCCGCCACCGCTTCTCCCCCCCAACAGTACGGCGAGCGTTACGGGACAAAATGTCTTCCACGACGTCCGCATCACCTACCTTCTCAAGTGATGAGGTTTGTTTACATAGATAATTTTTCAGATAGTATTTCATTAGTCTGTGTAGGGTATAGATTTCATGTAGACTTAAGATAATAAATATACCCGTTATTTTTTCTACATCATTGTGACGTTTTGGCGATCTCGCAATCGCTAGTTTGTTGGCTCTGCGCTGCCGTAGCGCAAAGATGTCTGCCTCCATGGCTGCGAGACCCGCTCCTATGTAATTATAAATAACGAATTCTAAGGCAACGCAAATATTAAGGTTAAGAGGCTGAGCTCGTAGATGATTATAAATAACATAGTTATGTATAATATATTACATTTCTGACTGTATATCCCTGTAATTATTACACACTGTAGCTTTAACGAAGAAGCTAAAGTTAAGACCTGTAGATTTAGCTAGATTTGAGTTAAATTAATCCTGTAACGTTAACATGATTATTTATTCTTAGTGGAGGAAAGGTTAACATTTCAGTCTAATAGAGAATATGAGAAATCACAAAGATTATGGTGATGGCAAAGAGGGCTTCCAACCCAAAATACTTCACACTCAGAAAAAAGAAAATTAAATATAGGTGAAAACCTTTAAAAGAGTGGTCTAAAAGTAGAAGTACCATTCAATTTCCATGATATTGATAATGCTCTTTAACCTATTAAATGTGTGAAGAGTTCCCAAAAATTTTATTTTTGTAAAAATGCAAATAAAGACAGAACAATTGTTATTTTCATACTCGTACCAGAGTTTAAACTTTACTATAATATATAAAACTAATTAAAGGCAGGTTAGTCGATCAATGGATGATGAAATCAATTTCCATCAAATGCTAAAGATGCATAAAGTCTAAAATATTTGAATAAACCAACCAAACAGGGCTGTTCATGACATAAGTCCTATTTTCACACACACTCATTGTGAAAAGCCAACTGGAAAACTTTATTATTGTTCTATTTAACTTTAATAGAATAATGGAACACATAATTACTGACTGCTTCTGAGCAGTATCTGTACTCCTGACACCTCAGCCAACCAAGAAAACTTTAAAGTGATATTTTATACTAAACCTTACATCTGCTCTGTCTGGCTAAAAAATTTAAAATTCATCCCCTATACCTCAACATGTTTTGCTATTTGTCATTCTCATGTATTAAATAAAACAAGTCCAGTAGAAATAATGAAATAAATCCTCAATAGATGAACAACAAAAACAGTAAAAGTGAAAAAATGCCTGTATGAGTAGTTGAAGCATTATTATAGATGCCAAAAACCAGACCACCACAGAAGTCTATTAAGAACTGAGTCCTATGCCAGCTTTCATTAGCAAACCCTGGAGAACAACCTGGAATGGAAATGCTTCCCGGCATCTCGCTACCGAAATGAGTGGAAGTAACTTGAGCAAACTGCCTGCTATTGCAACAGTGGCCAAAACATTGCAGCAGCTAATCAGTATTCAAGCATCCTAAAACCACATAATGCAGTCCTTTGGAGTAGATGAGCCTCAGGTAAAATGTGACAGGTGAAGAGTGACAGAAAAACAAAATTCACAGAAACACACTCAAATCTTTTTTTTTTTTTTTTACTCAAGTGAATAGCTGAAGCCAATGACAGAAATATAATGTGAATATAAGGTGCTAGGAAAAAATATCAGCCATGAAATCCCAGAGAGATGTTACACATAGTATTCCTGGCTGACACTTTGACAGTGAGCTGCAAAAAAAAAAAAAAACTCTCCAAACAAACACAAGCCTGTTGGACTGTGACAAACGGACCCTGATGCTTTTAGTATATTGGTATTATTTATGTAAAATTAGTCAAAAGCATTGACCAAAACACCAAAAAAAAGAAAAAAAAAAAGACTCAAGGTTAAATAAAATAGCTCAATAAAACTGTGACTAATACAGTTAGTAAAGAGCTGTTTCACTGCTTTTAAGGAAGTTGAACTGACTTTGTTTAGCCATGGTTCAGATTCAGAAAACTTGCTCCATTTGTGATAGGAAGAAAATGGGGAGTAGTGCATGGGTAAGACTAGTTGTTGGTCGATCTGGATGTTGCAAGTTTGATTTCAGCAATCGTCTGCCACATGTCGACGTGGCCTTGGGCATCTGGCGAGACAATGAAAACCAGTATCTTTCATTCTGCACTTACAGAGCCAATCAGTATCGGTTTGCGGATGCTCTGTGGTGGTCTAAAAAGCATTTCATCCTCCCTTTCTTAAAATTGAGGATTTCTGAATTAAAGTTCAAATGTTATTCTATATTTGAAGATAAAAGATATCGACAACAAAGCCCCCAGAGCGTCCCCTCAAAATAGGCAGATAACCTTTACGAAGAATTTTCTTATTTAGCCCTCCTCTGGACGAGCTGTTTTGGCATTCTACTGTATGCCTCTGTCCTCTCTAAAGGCTGGTTCATGCTCAGAAACCAGGTCGTCTGCACGTGTCGCAGTTAATGCAGATATGCCCCCGCCCTTTCCGCAGACACTCTGCTGCACCTCTCCAAAATTGTAGGTGGCCGCAGACAGGAGGCCTCTGATTGGTCAAACCTACATCCGCTCTATACTATGCGTATTTCCTGTTTGGTACCTTACCAGCTTGTTTGCTTGTATGACGCCATTGTGGAAACCGACTTGTGAAGATGGACCAGCGAAAAGAGCAAGGTGTGCAAGAAAGCTGGGATGCTTTTTCCACCTGGATCTTATGTCCCTCCGTTGTCGCACAAACTTGCCCCTTGCGGTTTTCCCCCTCCTCACCGCCTCGGCCGTATCTAGACCCACAGTGGGTTCACGATTGTCCCTCTTGCGTTATGGCGTGGAATAACATAGCGCAGACAACACTTCAAAATTGGGCTTAAATCAAAAATGTCTGCATCATACCTTCGACAAGCTCACTGCGACACACTGCTGCGGGACTATAATCAGCCCTTAAGGCCGCGCCCCAAAAATCCACAACCGTGACAATCATTCAAAGCTGGTAGAGATAACCAAGAAGCTCAGAATAATACATTAGATGAGGGTCATAGCTTGACTGATGGGCTGCTGTAGACCACTCATGACAACTTATATCCCCTTATGACATCATTAAGGGGAATGCTTTTCAAACAGAGCATTTTGAGCACACATTAGCTAAGAGGTGGAGAAAGGAAGTGAGAGAGGGAAACGTTTTTTTTTTTATTTTTTATTTGTGAACCTCATGTTTCAGGACACGTGTAACTGTTACGAAGGTTTATGAAACGAATTCTGCAGAATTTGGGACCATTAACAACTTAGTTTGAGCGAACCCAGTCCGTGTTCAACCACTGCAAGCATCTTTGCATCAACACCTGTGTACAGCACCCTCACTTGCGTCAGTGAGCCATTACAACAGCATGTTAATGTGTGCATGAACTGGTGACTGAAAAAATGTAATGTAAAGTGCTTTGGGGTCCTTGAACTTGACCAGGCGCTTTAAACATTGAGGCCATTTCCTATTTTAGCATTGAAGCACCATCGTAGCCCTTTGTGCACGCTGCCCTTCCAGCATAGGCAGACACCACACTGGGTGGCATTGCAGTAAAATAAATTACTGTACAGAAGTAGGAGAAAAAATATAGAGTTGCCTATCGAATTGATGGATAAGCATATCTGCATAAGAAATAAACTTTACAAACCACAGAATTTATTAAAGGGAAAAAGATGACAGGGTAAAAGAAGTTTGGAAGCAGGGAAACTGCAAAATGAGGAAAAAGTATTCCTTAAAAATCAGCAAATGGCTAGATATTTGCAGAATCTGAAAAATAATCAGATATCACCAGTGTTTTAATGCTTTAAATCCCAAAGTAAAAAAGAGAAACATGATCAAAGACCTACCTGTAGAAGCAGGTGATCCAATCCTAGTAAGTGCAACATTTGAGAAGAAAGGTTTAGGACATTTATCTATACCAAAGCCAAGTATGTACTAAAACAGCTCCCCTACTAAATGAGATCCCCTAGAGCCAGTGGTACAGCTCATGGAAAACATAATTACATCCTGAGGAGCTAATTTATCGATTTGAATCTCTGCACTGGAGCAGAAACACACCTAAAAAGTAGCACACCCTACATGGAATGGGATTCCACGTAAGAGAAAGGTAACACCATCACATCTCAAGCTCGATGGAGTCTCATGTTTCAGATGGGCCTCCACTTCAGCACGATTTAAATGATCAGTAAGAGACTTCTGCAAAGTTTAATGACTTGCTTACAAATAAAATGTTACCATTTGACTTACACATAGTAGAGCAGGGATATTATATGTAACATGTAGGAAGTAGTACTTTACTGGGATTGGACATCCCACTTGGCTCATGGTTACGGCCCTGTTTAACCTTTGAAGAACTTCAAGGTCTTTTTCTTAAACTACTATTGGCTGCAGTCAGATGGCCTCTAGCACACAGCAACGTGTCAGGCTACCTGCTGGGCGATGGGGAAATGCTAGGCTCTGATGGGCACCTGGAGCAAACTCATTGGGGGAGATGGTAATGCCCCCCTTCTCAAATTGGTCATAAATTCTGGTTACTGTTGGTGCCCATGATGTTGAAGGTTCTGCTTGAAACTGTTTAAGTAAAATTTATAATTTATAAACCAAAGATACTTCCAAGAAGAATGCTATTAAGACATATGTAAACCCAAGATAAACCTTAAACACAAACATTTTTACCATTATAAAATAAATCCCACCACACAGCTCACATTTGTAAGTTTATTTCATAAGTATTATGCTAACAAAGTCATTCAACAAAAGAAAAGAGTAAAACAATTTTTTGTAAAACAAATTTCTACAAGAACCAAAAACTGTTTCAGATGCTTTTCAGATCAACAGTTGATGAATAAACATGTTAGCAAAAATACTTTCTGGTATATTTTGGCAAAAGCTTGGTTAGGAAGTTAACGTGGAAAAACATTAGTTTAAAGGTTGTGCTTTGTGTAAAGTAAGAGCAACCTCAGGACTAAGACGTATTTCATCATTGTGCTGTTTTAGGCTCATTTCTCAAACAGGAATCTTGTTTTCTCACTGATGCAGTGACCATGACCACAGCAGTAAACTGAATCTCTTAAGACTATAAAACACTGAAACATTTCATTAGATACAGATTTCTTCACAGTTTCAAGCATCAAAGCAATGGAAATAGCGCAAAGGACATTTATAAATCATTAGCAATGTTTTTTAAAATGACATCATATGGTCACAGGATGGAGATCATGTAATATTTACTTCTAAAAACCATAAATAGAAATGCCATGTATAATCTCTGTAAACAAACAAAAAAAGCTGTGAACATTAACTGACATTTTTATTATTGATTTTGAATATTTATAACTGTCCTTACTGCAAAATAGAGGATGAAAAAAAAAAATCCTCGAAGAAAAGTGATGTCACCAGTTAGGTAAACAGAAACCAATAAATCAAAATTCCAGCGAGTAAAACCCTAAATAAAACCTGTAGTGTTGTTTTAAATAACTATATCGTGTTAAAATATATGGTTTTGTGTAGCTTCTGTAAGTTGGTTCACAAAACAAAAGAGAGCCTAAAATTTTGTAAAATGCATTTAAAAAATATATATTCTGAAATCCTTTAGAGAGAAATTAAGACTTTAACAGAATATTGATTTGGCCCTCTGTCCTTGGTTTTAAAATAACATATTATATATATAAATATATATATATAGCATGGCTAAGAACTTAAAAAGAAAATTTAAGACGGAGTGTATCCTGATGTTACTAATCATAAAAGTGAGTCTGAAAAAAATCTGATTTGACAAGTTGTTGTTCTCTTGACGCTTGCATTAAATAAACGGTGTGAAGACAGCTGAGAATAATCTTTTCACACACCACAGACAGTGGCTTCTCCAGCGATACAAAAATCTGTCATGTTTATTTTTCCCCCCGTTTGTTTCCTTCAAACTGAAGGCTGGATTTTCAAGAATAGATCAATGAATGACAGGACAGAAGTATTAAGAAAAAAAAATGTGTCTCAGCAGGTCTGATTGCAAAAATAAAATAAAAAAGTGAACTAAAGTCATCCTAATTCTCAGGCACCATCCACATTTCACTACCATGACATTTTTCCATTTTCTCCATGCACACTTCTGCCCAGCCAGCTGTCTGCCACCTGGCTGTTCCAGACCTGTGACTTCGCCTAATGGTCGCAGAAGCCAGGCATGGGGAACGGCCTGGCAAATGCCTCCACCCGGTGCCGCAGATCCGCAATACGAGCCACCGTCTCCGGGTCCTGGAGGAGGAAGTTCTTGAAGTCCTGGAGCTTTGCTGCAATAGTGAAGAGTAAAGACAAAAAAATGTGTATCTTCTTAGTTCTTTTATGTTTTATATTATTTATTAAGTACCAAAATGAATTTTGTTGTTTTTTCCTCATTTGTCTTTTTCCACACATATCTTGTCACAACAACCACTGGGTTACAGGTAAGTTTACTTCTTCTCAAATAGGCTTACCTGTCTTTTTCTTGACATCCAAAGCGATCTTGAATCCCTCATCCATAAACTCCACAACCTGCACAAAGTCGTCTTCTTTAAACTGTCTGGAAGTCAGAGCTGGAGCTCCTACAACCAAGAATACAATCATATTACCTAAATTACTTTCATTCTTTGTAATTTCTATTTTACTGTCTTTCTTCTCTACGTAACAGGGGATTTGAAGAAAATAAGCCTTTTGAATTGTCAATTAATGTGAACAGACTGTGTCAATGTGTCAAAACAACACAAATTCTGACAGTTGATGTGATGCTACTGTGAAAATAGTTCAAAGATAAGGCAATATCTTCAGAATATTGCACTGCAGCTCCAAGATACTGCCTAAAAGTGGACTTTCTAAGGAAAAGGAAAAACCTTTGCATTTGGGATCAGGTATTTTGGTAAGAAATTGTTCTTAGAAGACCGTTTGGTTATGTGAGTTGATAAAACTTAACACAAGACACCAGATACCAGTACTAGCCAGAAAATACCGGACTGTTGCATACTTAATTATTCTGTAGAGATGGTAAAAAAGTAAAATTATTTTAGTCAACATCTTCAAAGCACAAGAAAAAGAAGAAAATAATATTTGCATTTTTGTCCTCTTGGTTTCAGCTCATCAGATACAGCAATCCTCTATAGGTTATTTGAGCACAGCTAGAGACAGATTGGTACCTAGCCTTAGGCCTCCGGGGGTCAGGGCACTCTTGTCTCCTGGGCATGTGTTCTTATTGGCTGTGATCGAAACAAGCTCCAGTACTCTTTCAGCGCGAGCTCCATCGATGCCCTTTGGGCGCAAGTCCACCAGAACCAGGTGGTTGTCTGTTCCTCCTGAAACATTAAAATCCAACATGTTACTGAAAGCTCAATGCAGAGATAAGGCAACATTTCTTTACAGAAAGCCTTTAAAACCATTCCCCTTCATTATTTAGGCCCTTAAATTAAAAGTAACCATATGCATCAAACACTGAGCTGCAGATGTTTTAATTAATGTTCAACTTCTACTAACCTTCTGGCAGATGCTTCAGTACTAAATGTTCCCAATTCATATGCCCTCTACAGAGAAATTTGTCATAAAGTGATAAATGGGTTATTCATATATTTTGATACTGAACAGCTTCCACAATCTTTTTTGCCACAAACCTTCAGAGGGTCCACACCCACCAGACAGATCATAAACACATATATCAAGCTGCCGCTGTGCACCCAGCCTCTGACAGAGGAGGGCTGGGAACTTTAAAAATCTAACTAATCACAAAAATCCAAAAAGTTTCAGTTGAAGAGGCAGGTGCAACAGACACACCTCCAACACCCAGACTGAAGATTGCCTCCTTTACACATCAGGTCCAATAGGAGAAAAGTATAACTTTTCAGGCTACATGACTTTTATTTTAAAAGCAAACTATAAAATCCATGCTTTTGTCAGTTTTTCAATATTTCATTTTTTTTTTACATGTTTTTTTTTTGGTTTGTTTTAATAGTTAAGATCAAAACACCTTTTTGGGGTATTTGTTCTCTAATTTTTAAAAGAGTCCCTTTCTTAAATCTAAATAATTATTTTCTATTTTAGAGTTTTATGGTCACAGGTAGCTGTTTGCATTTAGTTATGTAATTTGGTTATTTTTTATCTTCTCAGAAAGCAGATTGTATGCAGCTTGTACCTACAACACTCAAAAATTTATTGAATTTGTTAGATAAGACAATGAATTACTAGAATGGGCTGAATGTACATATGCAAGGTAATTATGTTTGTTAAAGGTGTTATAATGTAACAAAGGCAACTTGTAGCTCAGTTGAAGCTAGTTTGCAAGAAATCAGATAAAGCAGGCTGTGCATACCTTTTATTCAGTTTGTTAGGACTAAATGTAGAAATCCAGAAATCTGACAGCTTACATATTATCCTCTAAAAAGAGATGTCTTAAAGAACAGAAGATTTGAGTAAAAATCTCTTCATATCCTTTTCAAATGAGAGCAGACTTTCAATACAATATAATAACAAAGGATGAATTGTTTCACAGTGGAGGCGCTACACTTTGGGAACTGGGAGACATTCGGGGGTCAGTGCTAGGAGAGAGCAAGCCAGCCAGTTTGGGGGTGACCTAAGTGGGCTAAAAACTAATTTATGTAGACATATTCCCTTTTGCCAGCTCCAGAGACAAGAGTGCGGAAATTTCACCTGCTGAAGTCCAAGCTGTGAGCCCACGGTCTGATTACAAACTAGAGTAAAACGTTTACTGGCTTTACAGCAGCAGTTCAAGGTGGTCAGAGGTGTTGAAGCTGAGGAAGTTCGCCCTAATTTCACCTTTCCAACCTCCCCATAAAGTCCATTTATGTATTGATAAATCACAAGTCAGCGAAAACCCTTCTACTTTTAGGTTCAGAGAATAAGAACTACAACAAATACTTTTTCATGAGGTCAGATTTTACTTAAATGTCATGTCTGTTTTTATCTTTATCTTTGTTTTGTAAGTATTTAGATAAATTGGATGATCAGTAAAAGCTTTTTTTTTTTTTTTAACTATACGTGATTAGTTCCAACATAAATCACAATTCAGAGAATTATACGTTTTGTTCCCCCCTTTCTAAATGATCTATTTTCTTTTTTTTAACCATGTAGTTCAGTCTCACTGATTGAGTAACCAAATTAACTCCTTTGGGTGGGCTGTTACAGACTAACAGTTTGTTTTATGTGACTGATGCAAATTTCTGATACATAAATGTAATTAAGCTGTATTCTCAATCTCTAAGTTTAATGCTCCCAAGCTGGAGGCTTCATCTTTCCCTATGTGAGATGAATGATTCGGATCTAATTAGAAACTAGAAAATGGTTGTCTTTGTTTACTGTTGACCGTCACTGATTAATTAAAAAATATGAAAGCGGTAAAACCTTTTTTTCCCCCTCTCTTTTTTATTTAATTTAGCAACAACTAGCTTTAGTCATTTTTGGCAACCACGCCGACAGAGTGAGGCAAAGATAGATTAGCATGCTTCACACTAGTACCAAGACTCCCAGCTGGCAGCTTTGGACAAACTGAGCTACAGAAAACAGTCTTTTTATTGTTATTGCATTAAAATGCCAAATTACTTTAGATGCTGCAGTGTAAGCACAAAACAGGTAGATTTTTAAAAGGTATCAACTTAGGGCCATAGATCAAAAAAGAGCTGAGGCCAGCATATTAAATGCTAAACAACAGTCAAGCATTTTCTCACAATCACAAAGTGAACACGTTCATCAGACTTTATTTTCCTGACTGGCAAGGCAGCTGTACTGGCATTAGTCCATTTGCACATCATGAATTTAAATGCACCTTTGTTTTTTCCTCCTGCTGTGTAATTTGCATCTGTGTGACAGGAGGTTCTCATGAGTTTGTTCCAGTGCTGTTAGATGAATCAATGTCTTATTTGTAGGTTAAAAAAGTCAAGTGTAAAACATGCAGTATTACCTGATACCAGTGTGTAGCCTTTGCTGAGAAGAGCTCCAGCCATGGCCTTTGCATTCTTCAGTACTTGGGTAATATACTCCCTAAACATAGGAGACTGAGCCTGGACAAACAATAGAGAGGGTTAGCATTATTTGTTTGGAAAACACTTGATTTCAAGACCAGATATTTAATTGTCTCTACCAGCATTAAAGAGATAATTACAGTTCATACTGTAAATGATAAAAAAAAAACAAAGAAAGTGAGAGTTCCACATAAATCAAGGTATTTGTTTCACTTCTTGACCTGTTTGAGAGCCACTGCTACTCCAGCAATAGCGTGGTTGTGAGGTCCACCCTGCAGGGACGGGAACACTGCAAAGTTTACTTTATCTTCCAGGTCGTACATGATCTCCCTTCCTTTCTTGTCCACTGAGCGGATGCCCTTACGATAGAAGATAAGGCCAGCTCTAGAATGAACAAAATCATTCTTCAGTAAAACAATTATAAATTTAAAATTCAAAAACCTGAACTGTTGAATTATTTCTTCATTTAACATATGTAAAGCATACTCTAGATTTCTTTGCAGAAGCAATCATACACGTTGAATTTCGTTTATATTTTGTTAAGTTACTATCATGAATGGTATAGTGAAGCATCTAAATCCAATGGAAAATTTGTTGACTTCAAAATAAAAGTTCCTCCAATGAGCTTGAGGTATTTTCAGAAATCAGAAGTGAGGGAAAAAAAATCAAGTCTCTACATTTACAAAGCAGGTAGAGGCATACCAATACAGTTTCAGCTGTTATTGAAATTAAAAATTGAAGTAGGTCAACTACAAATGCACCTTCAAACTTTGCAGATTTAGCAAAACTGTTTCTTCCACTGCACAGCTATGTGACTTTGAGTTGGACTATGACACTAATTCTAAATATAACAAATTGAAGTTGTTACATGAGAAAAATGGAAAAAAATAAAATAAAATAAGGTTTAGGAGCTTGAATACCTTTACAATGATATTGTACGGAATAATGAGGACCTCACCTGGATCCTCTGAGGGACTTGTGTGTGGTAGAAGTGACCAGGTCAGCGTGATCAAAGGGAGAGGGGACTCCCTTTCCCGCCACCAGGCCACTGATATGAGCCATGTCAGCGAGCATGTAGGCGTTAATGTCTGTACATACCTGACAGGATGAAAAAGAAAATCATCTCAAACTTTAAATTTTTTTTTTTTGATAGGACATTAATATTAAAACACAAGAAATTCAGCTGTCTGTTATCAGTAGAGGGAGAGGTGTATTTCACTGAGCTGAACTTGTTGAAAGGCAACAGAAGCAGAGTCTTAACCTCTCTAAGTTTGCATTTTCCCTGCATGATTAAGAATTGATCACCAACTCGACTTCAGCAGACGTTACCCATCTTCTCAGAGAGGAGATATATATTTTAAGATGTGTAATTACACTCTAATTGGCAGTCCTAAGAGCCCTGAAATATGAAGGCAACATTCAATAAATCTAGGCTTTCAGTTGCCAGGGTTTATTATAAAAGATACAAACAATAAATAGCTTTCAAAAATATAAATGTATGTCTGGTGTTAGATCAAAAAAACCATACAGCAATACATTATTGTGCTTTAAAAAGAACGAGTCTCTTCCACTTTTATTTATACTGGATGCAATTTGGATGAAAAAAGCAGAGCTAAAGAGCTTTGCTATATAGAAAGAAAGGCCAACGGTGAAAAAAAATAAAGGTAGCATACATCCATCTGATGGTGCTAGCTAAAGTGGAGCTCTGCCACAGAGGGAACCAGACATGGTCTGATTTTAGTAAATTAGCCAGTTGGTACAACAAAAACCGTTAAAGGGCCCCCTTGTGCACCATCAAAGAGAGCAGTGAAGTGTGTTTAAAAGTTGGTGTGGTTTTTTTTTGTGAGAGTGAGGCAACAAAGGATGAAAGCATCTGTGTGTGCATGAAAACTGTTTCGAAAGGTTTGAAAATAGCTAACAAAAGTGAGAACGCTTGGATTTAGAGCTATGATATTTCTAAAGCTGAATAGAAGGTATAAATATGTCTGCAAGAAGGTCTGACGGGGTCTGACCTATTGTTACAACAGACAGGTGAGTTTGACATTTTAATGAAAAGGTTGACTGAGTTTTACATTTAAGAACGAACCTCCTCTGACCTCCTTAACACAGTGAACAGCGGAGAAAACAGGTAGAGGCTAGGCAGGGTGAAAGTAGGGTGAGGTTTGAATATTAGGGAGCTTAGTTCACCTTCTTGATGCGGGCATAGTCAATGAGGCGAGCGTAGGCGCTGGTGCCAGCGATGATGAGCCTGGGCCGGAACAGCTTGGCTGTCATCTCCATCTGCTCGTAGTCTATGAGTCCCGAAGCAGGCTGTGTAATAACAGGCAGGTTGAGAGGAGAGAAAAGAAATATTGAAGAAGCAAAAATGAAGAGGGAGTGGATGAAGAAAATAAGGATATATGCAGGAGTGTAGAGGTCAGAAGGGGAAAAAAAACAGAAAAAATTTAGATGTTTGAAGATCAAGAGTGAGGATATGAACACGGAGGAGAGATTTCTCCATTTGAAGCTCATTCGAAGCAGCTGCAATTGAAGTACTTTGGGCACTTTTAAAAAGGGATGAAATGTATCTAAGAGAGACATTTACACCTATCATATCATGGAGGAAGATGGAGCAATTGCAGTAATGCACCACTACTTATCCTAATTCAGCCTTTCAGAGTTCTGCTAAACTGGTGAGATGAGGCTGAACGGATCAGGCTGGTTTTTAGATTCTCCCCGCTGCTTCTCAATGACCGCAGCAATTTAAGTAACATGCTAGTTCATTTGCACCTCTGAGGATGGAGATGAGACAGACATGAACCGACCTGTCTGTCTGCGCTAACTAAACTTTTACCCATCTAATTTTTCTCCCAGCTTTGGAGGAAAAACAACGACGCACAGCTGAATGAAGAAGAAAACAGTGGAAGACAGAAACAACAGAGAATAGGAGCTGGAGACGGGGAAAAAAGAGAGACGAAAGGAGCAGAGAAAGCTTTATTTAGACAACCTAATAATCTCCCATCTCAAGAGCACATCTATGGATGCCCTCCTCACTCCATCAAGCTGCTCATTGTGAGGACAGAGCCAGTGGTGCTGGCCAGCCTGTCGATTTCCCATTATCTCTCTCGCAGAGGGGTCCTGCCTGCCCATACATCAGCAGGTCTGGACAAGCAGACCCTCATCGCCATCCATCAGCTGCTACCAGACAATCCTGATCCATGGGTATAAAATACATTAAACATTCGGAGGAGCGATCATATCTGCTGTATAGATATCCTGTAAGGTTTCGGGGACACTGATTTTTACAGATCACAATGCAAGTAAACAAGTAGATGGATGTTTAAGATACAGGGCTTGCTACACATTTATACACACGTATGACAGATGTTTCTACACGGGAAAGGCTTTAAAGATGGAAGGTAAGGATTCAGAAACTGGTAGGAAGCAAGGAAGGAAAAGAGGAAGGAAGTGAGTCCACTAGTGAATATCATTACTAGAATCTTACAAATAATAAAATTATTGCATGCAACTTAAAGAGAACATCATTTTGTTTACTGTGTGCTTCAATCTCCCTTGCATTACTTTTGTTAAAACAGGTTATTACATTGCTTGATGTTTTTTAACTGTTGCAATTATTTTTTTTCTAAATGGCTGCACACCTTACCTTAATGTAATTCACGGTTATTTACATCAGTTCGACTGTCCAAACGCTATTATAGTAGCAGATTTCTTTGCAATTAGAGAAAACCAAACGTGCAGCATAGCCATTGCACTGACAGGGATGTACAGGGCTCAATGATAGTCCCAACATGTGTTTGCTTAATGATGCTGTATCAGTTTTTTTGTTGTTTTTTGGTCCTACACTGATACAAGAAAAAGAAATGGTCTATTCACATAAAGCAAAACATATGCTCCATTTTTACATTCTGGAAGTGCCATTGATAGGTATTTTAATAATACCGAAGTAAAGCATCAAGTGAAAATGAAAACCCAGACTAAAAAGAAAGCAGCTCTATTATGGTTCTTTGTATCCTTTAACAGAAGTTTGCCCTGAATGAATTTTGAAGTACGTTTCAGCTCGATTTCAAACTGGAACAGTTCAGCTAAAGCTTTAGTGTGCTTTGAAATGTGTGCTATGATCATCTGCTTACATTTAACTTGTAAGGCATGGACTCAAAGTATATTGAGGTTGCAGAGATCCTCTTCACATCTGACATGTAGCCGTGCGTAAGACTGCAATGACAAAAAAAAAGAATCTTTTCAATGTGCAATTCTGACAACTTTATGCATTAGAAATAATTTGAATGATAAAAGTATAAAGGGAAAAAAAGGAATAGATCATGGTGTTTATCATTCAAGCCTCAAAGTGACACACTAGGTTTGACCAACAAAGAAACTGGGGCAGCTTTGAAAAATAAGAGAATAAGAACAAGAAAAAGACCAAAGAAGAGAAAACAAAATAAAAAAAAATAAAAAAGTGAATACTGACTGTCCTCCATCGGGCAGGTCCAAGCCCATGATGCGGTCATGGGGTTTAAGAACAGCCGTATAGACAGCAAAGTTAGCAGGAGATCCTGAGTACGGCTGGACGTTAACGCCCCACTTTTCCGGGTCCAAGTCAAAGGTCTCCAAAGCTCGCTTCTGACACAGAAGCTCGATTTGGTCAACCACCTCTGCTCCACCATAGTACCTAAAGCCAAAAATAAGAGACAGATTGGGGGAAAAAACTTTGATGTAACTGATTAAAAAAAGAAATTCTAAATTAATGTTTGTGGCTTTGTTGTTAACACAGATCCCATTATTCTTGTTTGCAAAAAAGGAATTAATAGGAAAACAATTCAATGCAAGATGTCAATATCAAACTTGTTGACATTAATTTCTTTTTTCAAAGTTTGGAAGAAGTTTAACTAAATCATAGTGATGACTTTTAGACAGAATCATTGGTTTTAATTTGAACAGTTTTACTTTTAAGGGATTCTTGTTTCCTTCCTGAATACATCAAAGAGGGATTTGCAAAATTAATTAGAATTTTTTTTACAGCTGCAGATTTCCTATTTTTTGTATTTTAAAATCGGTGATATAATCAACAGACGTCCTCCAAATATCACAATACTATATCACTTTTAGACTCTATGCTATGCTAATAATTTTTAAGACCAACATCACAGAAAAAGACAAGACTGACTTTGTTAATCTGAGATTTCCAGCTGCGGTATGTAAACCTACAGCTGTTGTACTAAAGTTACTTTAGCATCTTTCAGGCAAACAGTAGGCATCAGTGTTGTGACGATTAGATTTTAGCCAAGGTTTGGAATTCCAGCATGAAGGTCCAACCTTCGCACAATGAAGGAACTTTTTTATTTTAATTCTCCTAACAGACTAAAAGCAACCAGCATAAGGAATGTCTATAATGAAAGCTATTAATGAAGTGTCTATTCATTTATAATTTCTAAACATTCTTCTAATAGTCATATGTGTCCTGAAGCCTGTGTCTGAGATTCATGAAAGAAAAAAAGCCCTTTAACCTCTATAATTGTCTTTCTCCACCTATTAGCTAATGTTTGATCAAAATGCTCTGTTTAGTACCCCTTATGAAGTCATAACAGGAAATAAGCTGTCCAGAGTGGTCTGCAGCAGCCCATTGGTAGAGCTACAGCATCCATCTAGGGTATTATTTCATGCTCCTAGTCGCCATTTTTACAAACTCTGACCGGCTATCATGGTGGTGGGTTGTATTGGCGTTCAGGAGGACGGGGCGTGGAAAGCTAAAACAGTTCATCCAGAGGAGGGCTAAATAAGGAGATTTCTGGTTGATGCTGTCTTTCCTTGTGGGGGAGGTTATGAAGCAGACTGAAAATGTTTTATCATTATCTCCCTTTTATCTCTACTTTCTTTCATCTTTTCTCCTTTTTTTTCCCTGTTTTTCCTTTCCTGTTCTGTTTACATTGCAGTGTCCATACAATCTGTAAAACTCCCTGCATAATTATAATAAAGCAATTTATATGCATAAAACAAGCGGAACACTATGGCAATAGGCGTACTGCTCCTCTTGTGAAAGTATATCTGTTGGGCTCTTTTTGGCATCAAGACAATTATTGTTATTGCCACATTGCCAGACAGGACACTGTAAATAATAATAATGTGGGACATTAGAGAAAAAATCTCATCAGAATGTTTTCTCACTAGAACTATTTAGAAAGTGTTATGCGTCAATTAAAATAAAAATATCTTCCACCATCGGTAAACCAACAAACTGTGGATGTTTCAGGCTGGACATTTTATAGAAAGGTTTCAGCAGATTTGCAGGTGAAAAAGCAGCTGACTGCTTCATTAAAAAAAAAACACTGCTTCATTACACCGAAGTCTTCAAAAGCAGAGAGGATGAATGTGGGGTGGGTCAACACTTAGCTCTGAATAGATTTATGAGGGTTGTGTTCGAGACATCGAACCATTAAGGGTTTTACATCTTTAAAGCTTTCAATCTGTTGTTACTTTTCATAAATGCCAAAATGAAAACAACCCCAACACTAAAATAGATGAACACTCAGAATTGTGACTATAAATATACCCAGCGCTCCCCGCCCCACTCGTCTTTAGTAACTTAGGAGAGTGGATTACTAGTAAAGGTATGTAACATGGAAAACACAGTAATATCACATCAGGGGCATGTTTGCTTTTTTTTTTTTAGAGCTGCATTAAATATCCCAAAGCCCAGAATATATGTTGGTAAGCCATGGCTAAGTAAACACTCACCTTCTCCCTGGGTAGCCTTCAGAATATTTGTTGTTCAGACATGAGCCCTGAGCCTCCAGAGCTGCTCGGCTGCAGAAATTCTGTGAGCACAACACACACACACACACGCTCAGATCAATGATATGAGAGGATAGAAGGGACAAGGATGGCAAATTAAAGTCTGTTAAGTGATAGTAAGAAATCCCCCTTTGGCTAGAAGCAATCATTACAGTATTGAACCTGTGGACGTCCATAGACTAACACTCTACACTTCACAGTGTTCATCACTACACTGCTGGAGGACACAAGATAATGTGATAAATGTTAGTGCACATGTTGGGCTATATCTGTGTGGCATATTTGTTGTTGGATTTTTATGTTAAAATGCACTTTCAAAGAAAAGTGCTGTCTGTGTGTTCAGCTGGAAAATAAGGACAAAGCTTTTACAAGCAATCAACCCTCCATCTACATTTTTTAAACCTATTTTTTTTTACTGATTTATAAATGCTAAAGCATTACAACTTAAGCCACATCTAGGAAAGGAGATTTAAAAAAAACAACAACAAAAATAGAGGTTATAAAAAAAAAATATTTGCATGTTGGTAATATTTCAGATTTACAGCAAATCCTAAGTCGTTCTGCTGTTTTGTTATGCCCCCATATCTCGTTTCGAATTTCATGACATGCAGCTGCATGGATGTTGTGTAATCCTAGAAAAAGACAAACATCGTCTATGAAGGGGTTCTCCTAAGAATATGTTTCATAATGCTGGGGATAAAGCTAAAATATGACAAATGTTAATTTAAGCATACCTTAAGAGGTATATCTGTAATAAACTTAGACTTACATTTTTTTGTCTTTTTTTTTTTTTTTTTAAACATAGAGTGTATGCAAAAAGAATACAAAAGAAGACAAGAAGAATACAGCCCTTTAGAAATTTTCATTTTTGAAAGTGTAGCAGTGATAAAAGGTAAGCAGCAATGATCAATGTAAACCTACGACTGTATATGATTTTCAGTCTCCAACATTTAGGGTTGTTATTTTTTTAAATAAACCTAATTTTATGTAACATTCAGCGGTCTAATGGTGGTGGGGAAATAACTGTTCTACTCGAAGATTTTTTACTTAATCAAACCAGCCAATACTAAAATGTATCCATTTGAGTAGTTCTGGATTGAACATACTGACATCTTAAATGCAAAATGTTTACTTTTTTTTAATAGTTCTGATATAATTACTGATCTAAGTGGGTTGCTCTGTCAGCTATAGACATATTTTATAGGCTCTATACTCCATTTAACGATTAATCAATTACTAAATTTTAGGGATGCACGATATTGGGATCCTGGCCGATATCCGATATGCCGATATTTTAAAACTCATGTAGCCAATAACCGATACCGATGTTAAAGCTGGACAAATATAAGTAGTCATTGAAAATAGCAGTTTTGTTATCCATTTCTGACACTTTGAAAAATAATATACTCAATATATATTTTCATATGCTGATATCAAATTGATTTTTAAAAACGTGGTATCGATCTATTTTACTTTCAAAATCTCGTGAAATGTCATCGTTCTGTTACAAACTCTCGTGATATTTTGCAAATTCTTGGGAGATTTTGTTAGTAAATTAATGGATACTGCGTCAATATATCAACATATAAAAATATGGCAAAATTTCGTGAATTTTCGGGGGATTTCGTAGCATAACGATGACATAAAGCAATATTTCATTAGTAAAAGAGATTGATATGGTGTTTTTAAATGGCAATATATCAGCATATGAAGATATTTTAATGTATCAATATTTTTTCCCTCGTCTTTAGAAGTTTTTAAGTCTGTAAGTTTTTGAGGAAGAATAAGTGGTATTTTTTTTAGACTTTAGAAACTCAGAAGCTGATCAAATATCGGTTTAAATATCGGTGGGGTGGCCGATGTCCGATATTCAGTTTTAAGGCCGATACCGATAGGGGGCCGATTATATCGTGCATCCCTACTAAACTTGTTGACGATTATTTCAATAATCGATTAATCACGATTAATCCAATTAATTGAGACAATTGAGACAAAGCAAAAATGGAAGAAACAACTCTGAAATAATTAGATCAAACTGTATATTTCATTCCTACATGTAAAACAATGCTGTTAAAAAACAATACAAAAAAAGAAAAAGCTGTACATCACACTTAAGAACCCACCCAGAATAGAGATGAAGACAGATGTAGATACAAGCCTAAGGCCTGACATCATCATGGAGGTTTTAATTGCCTGCAATACAATGACCCCAAATCTGTAAACCAGGTTTCCCTTCAATCAAATTAATGATCAAGCATTCGATTGTGTTTTTGTATCACAAAATCCTGACAAAGTGCCTTGTCTTTGGTTTTTCTATGTTAGAAAGTAAAACTGGGCTGCAGGGAATTTGGTGGCATTGATCACCACACGGGTTGCCATACATGCTTTTCTATCTTTTTTGCTCTTCACAGTCATTATGATGATTCCAACTCTATCTACAGCTGAGTCTAAAGTATTCATTTCTGACCCCTTGATTATATGGACCTAGAAATGGAAAAATCACTACTTTGCAACTGATAAATTTTAACTACCCTTTTAGACCTTGTTTGAAGAAATTTAGAGTCTGTCAGGGCAAAAACAGACAAACTTATTCCCCACCTTTTGCTTTGATAGGGTGGTGGTCATATATCATATGCGAGTGGGAGAGTTATTTTTTCCTAAAGCAACAAAAAGGAGATCGAGGAAAATAACAGTTCTAGTAACAGCTTTCTGTTGCATCCATCTGTCATGTCAATAAATGTGCATATATTAGCAAATGAAAACAGTTTACTTCACACCCTTTTGGGAGGTTGTTGGTTGGCTGGGTTGGTCACGTGTAAAAAATGTATGTCTTCTCATTCAGGCTGTGTCTGTTACTGTGCTATGCAGATTGAGTTAAGGTGGAAGCAGGATGAAGATACCAGCTTTATCTCACACTAGAGCGATCAGGCTTTGTGCTGAGAAGAGGCTGATATACTCCACTGAACAACTACTGTGGCAAGAAGAAGCGAGAGGAAGAGAGAAAGAACAACAGAAGATAAAACACAATCTCCCTTCTCAATAGTAACATTCTTCATTTCTCACCATGGGGCTCTGGGCTAAAAGAGAAAATCTTTTTTTTTCTAGGAAGGATTCACACATTCATTTTAACAACAAGTTAAAATTCCTTGTTTTTACAATAGAACATTTAATTGATAGCTGATTATCTTACCGACAAAAAACCTTTTTCTCTTCTTAGAGTTTGTGTGAACAGTTATATCACTGTAACTTTTAGCAAAATCGACACAATATTATAATTATATTAATTGACCTGTCAGGTTTTTCAAAACAACAAAAAAAGGAATATAAAGAATAAATCAAACTGTGGTTGGAAACCATTGCGTCAGGTTTTGTTTCCCAAAATAAATTGTATAGACAAGTAAAGAAGTTTGCTCTCTTTACTGGTTCATAATCAAAGCTAATTGGAGTTTACATTTGGGTTTTAAAATACAAAATATGGTGTTTTGGTACAGAGAACAGAGAAAAGGCTAAAATGCCATGGGCCATAATGTAAAAGATACTATAAGGTTATTAACAAGATGGTTTGACAAATAATTCCAGTTGGAACTTAAGCGTTAAAAAGTTTAAACGTCACCGTTACCATTTCTAGTATTAACTTGGATGTCGTCCTAAGCGTACCGAGAACTGCTGAAAATGTTATGCCAGATAACATCTGATTATCGACTGGTTTTTAGTCAACCAAATCAATCAGAAATCAACTGGTTAAACTTTCTGTTGCATTAAGCTTGAGAAATTAGCTATGATCTTAATTTAAAAACTTTCAAACCTAGAATGCCAACAATCTATAATTTCAGTACCGTGAAAACCAAATCTGAACAAACCTGAACAAAATATTTTGTGTGACAAATGAAAGCCCCTTTTATTACAAACTGTATTTCTGTTCATCTTTCAGATATAAAATATGGATTTTCCCCTGAAACTTTGAAAATGAACAAAATATTTCCATACATTTTAGGAGTGCATGAATAATTATTGTAACTGGAGAAAAATGTGTATAGATTATGGAATATTAAGTTTAAAATACCTCTGATGCAATGAGCTCCAAACCACGACACTGTCTGTCCTTCTCCCTCTGCAGCAGAGCCCACATTTCTGGGTCGTCCTCAGCCAGACTCTCTTGTCCGGTCCAGGAGCCATCTTCGACGGCGGTACGGGTGGCTGCATGGGACTGCTGGAATCGTACACTGAGGCGAGTGGAGGCCCGCTGGCACAAGGGCTGGGGGTAAGAAAGGGGTGAATGTTTGAGTGTATGAGCAAAATAACGTATGGAAAAACTACAGTGTGACAGTTTTAGAGACTCATTTTCTGAAATTGGATCATCAAATGGAAAGTAGGTCATTGTTCATAAAGCCAGCGTGAAATACAGAAGCATTTGGAAAAATAAAATCTCTACTAATGCTATCAGTTACAATAAACATTTTTGGATGATCATAGATTAGAGCAAGTGAATAGAACATAAAGTATCAAGACTCCAACATTTCACATTTCAAAGCAAGACGGTACATTTTTTATATAAAAGGGTCTTTTCAAGTCTTCATCTGCTGCGCTTCAATATGTAGCCTGGCACAATTAGAAGATTGTGTGTTTGCACGATATCAATAATCAGCACAGTTTTTTAATTATGCTTCCATCAGCACTTCTAGAACTGAGCGACTGACTTTAACTGCCTCAGTGTACCAAAAGGGAGGTATAGAGAGAACAGATTCAGCACTTCCTGCTTATCTAATCTAGACTGGGGCTGGCAAGTTCTGCTGCTGAAATGCCGGATCGCATAAGAGTGCAGAGACTTAAAATTTAACGGGTTCTTTTTAAAACATGAATCCTCCCACTGGGTTGAATTCTGCCTTCATTTCTCAGTTTTTCTTTAAATACTGCTTGGGCAGCTAGAAAACTTTCAGACACAGAAAAGTAATTAAGCTTTACTTTGATGCAATTATAATTCTCAAAAAGAAGTGCTTTATGGAGGAAAACATTAGGGGTTAAATAAAATACATGACTAGTTGATTGCATGAAGAATAAACTGGCTTTTTTCCTGACATTTAATCAACACTATTATTTTAAGTATGCTTCGATCAATTACTCCACATGTAACCAGTAGTTATCATCTGTACAGGTGGGCTAGGTTATGAAGGACAGCCTCCGTTTTAATAGCATCATTAAAAAGTAATTAACATTATGCCCGGAACTAACTTAGGACATTCATTTAAAAAGAGCCATTATTCTCATCTTGAGTGCAGGAAAATGCTGAGGGTACTTTACCTTCTCTTTATTCCCATTTAAACATGGAAACAACATAAAAAGAAATACTTTGAATTTTAAGGAAGGGAAAGTTGTTATAGAAGAGACACCTGATATACGTTTGTCCTTTTTCTTAGACATCAGAAAGGACACCCTTACATAGAAATGCACTGAGATTTTATCATATGAAGAGAACTTGCAGGTTTTCAGCTTGATTGGCCAGACCAGTGGAAAGCTAAAAAAAAAATATACCGTTTTTTTTTTTTCTTTACCTTCGAAAAGCATCAAACGTTACTGCAGGAGGAAGGATGCTGAAAGAATTTTACACTGAAAAAGAACAAATTTAGGATGTAGAAGCATTTCCTTGATTAAAAAAAGGAAAACAAATTACATTTTATTTTCAGAATATGTTCAGTTTTTGCTTGTGACAATAAACTTTGCTTGATGAATGCCACTCTCAACTAATGGTATAAACAAAAGGCCACCATATCAATTATCAATAAACTTTAACTTTTAAACAATGAAAGTGAGGAAATTTTAAACATCCAAAATAGAAAAAATAAATATAACTTGAAATTACAGTAAATGGCCTAGGTCTGCACAGCGAAAAAATATATATGGAAAACCAAAAAGAACAAACAAATGCAAAAACAACAAAACTGAAATAAAAACTAAACACAACTTGGGCTAAAAAATTAATCAATACAATCAAATTATCTAATTTTTAGTTTATGTTGATTTTTGGAAAATCATCCACCAATCCACACCTTGGGCTTTCATAGCTCAGAGCATCAGTTTTCCTCCCTTTTTGTTCTTCGATGTGCATTTATAACTGATAAACTAATTTTGTTTAATACCACCACCTGCAAACATTTAGTGTGTTATAATTTCATTGTTAAGAAACATGATTATTTTATAAGCAGGTTTCACAGCACAAATTGTTGCCCTTTAAACAATTTAAATTATTTAAATACAATATTTACAGATAAAAACACTTTTGCATGGCTTTCTTTTCATATTTAGCATATACTTTTTATGCAATCTACAGAAAAGAAGACAAATATAACGTCCATTACAGAAATATTACGGAAGCCAGAGATCAGAAATATGCAACAAAATTTTAAAAGATGTACCTCTGGCCTTGACATAAGGGTAACGTATTGCTGATTATTGACTTAAAGCCGACTTTCCAACAAAAAAACAAGAGGCCAGGAAGGCCCACCCCACCAAAAAAACGTCACTTTTCATAAAGAAATTAGAGGAATTATGTAATTCTGACAGTAACTATCTTTTGCACTTAACATTACTAGGAATAAAATAAGCCAGTATTCCATCATTTACCTAAGAAACAAGAATGCTGTTGCTTGTTTCTAGCATCTTCCTATCCCCTTTCCCACCTTCCTGTCCACTAGTGCAGCTAAACAAACGCTGCCATGTTAAGCGCCAATGGCTTCTTTATAAGGCACCAAAATAGAACAGCTCCTGGTTTCTACAAACAACTCGCAGGTTGTCCCTGTGATTTGCCTCTCTGCAGCTTCATTTCTCTGCCCTGATGATTACAGAAGATTAATTAATAAACACAGGATAAGTGAGAGCCAGGATCCAAGCACCAAATGTGTCACAGCTGGACTATTTTTAGTCGACAGGTTACGCTGTTGTTTGAAGGTGAACTTTATGAAAGCTCTGCAGTGAGAAAAGGGCTAGATTAGGCCACATTAACCAGGATGCTAATAAGACAACATCTTTGTGAAGATCATATCGAATTGTTGCTTTTCTTTGTAAAATGTGCATCTGTAAAAAATAAAAATAGCAGAGGAAGAAAATAGAAACATTTTTTAATTATTCCCAGTTTTGTATTTCTTTTATCCATTTCATGCAAGTGGCTGAGCTGACTCAATTTTACAGATGGGTGCTGTCTTGCAGTGGCTTTAGCAAACAATAATTAACCTTGTAACAGAATGAAAACAAACAGGACTATAGGGGAACGATGGTAAAGAAAAAAAAAATATGTAAGAACAGAGAGAAGAAGAGTCAACAGGGCAGGAACCCATCAGTCTGATATATCGATGCCTCTTTTCTCTGTCACTGACTAATACCCAAACTGTCGGTTACAAATGACCCAGGGTGACACCAGACTGAGTAAACTGGATGGGGTGAAGAGGCACAAAGGGACAGAGGTTCAGCCCACAGCAACCGTTTTTGGATCAAGGGTTGCTTATGGTTAGAGAAACTTCTTGGCCAATATTTGAAAGGTATAGGTAGAGGAAACAACATTTTTAAACTTATTTAACCAGCAGTAGAGGAGGGGCTGATGAAGTGTGCTGCCTTAGGTGCTGATTCCTTTTCTAACCACACTGACCCCTATATGCCACACCCTCAGTCACTGCTCCGTCCTGCTCACGTACGTTGTGCAGAGCACTAGCGCAGTCATGTTAATCAATGAGAAATGTTCCACATCCACCGCTTCTCCTCCGCACGTCACCGTCCCCGTAAGATTTTTCCGTCCGTCACTGTCAAAATATGGAGCCAAGCTATATTTTGCCAGCAAAGTCAAGATCCGCAATTGCATCAAACCCTGTTTCACTTTACTTAAATGATTTCGGGAATGCAAAGGGCCAAGAAGCATAATAAACTACTGTCCAAATCCACACTAATACTGCACATGGAATGTTGGAATTTTTATGTCAAAGTTGTCAAATATGACTTCTTTAATATCCCTAGATGGATACATTTTATTTCCTATATAGCAATTTAGTTTCTATAAAGTGCTATTACCCTAAAAAAGCAACAAAAAAATGAACAAATTTCAACTGCAGCTAGAAACTAAATGAAAACTAACTCATGGATCTCCTGAGGACAGGCTAACAGTGCACATGTGTACGAATCTTGTGAGTCTGTTCGGACTTGCTTAACTGATTTCCACTGATGGGAAAAGCATGCATGCATGTGACCTAAAGGCTTAATAGGAAAGAAAGACTCATGTCTTTCCTATTAATCTATTGACCTAAAGTCTAAATAGGAAACACAATAAAAGTAGATATAAATACATGCCACATAAAACTGACTAAACTTCAAGTAAAAAATAAAAATACACTATATCATACAGTAGGAGATTGCTGACAAAACTAAAACATGTTTTTAGACAACTATAAACCTTTATCTACTGCATAACAATATCATGGTAAGAGGTCATGTAGTCCATGTTTTCTCTTGTTCATAGGAGCAGATACTATGCTCTATTGCACTTTTAACACTACTAGGAAAGAACCAGTAAATCATGGGTTCAAATTTTTTTTATTTTATTTACATTGCTAACTTGAAGTCATTAAAAAGAGGGATATTTTATATCTAATCTATCTAAGGAAAATCAGTTGACTGTATCGACTCATTGACTCAAATGCAATCCCTCACACAAAGCATGCTTATAGATATTAAACAGTTAAAATTACACTTAAATTGAACCCTCACCAACTCACTCAGGTGCAGGTTAGTAAAACTAAAACATATGATATGAGGGGGAAAAAATCTTTTTGCGTATTGATAAGGATAAAATAGGGCCGGAAAACGAATCAATTTTATCAATTGTTTAGCAGTTTCAATTTCTGAAAATCAGATTATTTATTTATTTTTTTTAAATATGTACCAATGCAGTCCTTCTGTAGTCAGTTCTGATCCAATTCCAATATCTGAATTTGGAGATCCTGTTACCAGAAGTTTGGCTTCCTTTAATGTTATCATCATTACTGTTAACTTTTTAAGAGACAGTTAAAAACTCCTCTCTATGAACAAGCATGTTATTTATCAATGTGCAGATGTATATTTCAAATGGCAGCCTGAGATTAGCATAAGGTAAAATTAAGTGACAAAAAGACACCTATGGTCAACAGGACAAATGGCATCTTGAAAACACATACTAGGAAAAAAGTAGGGATATTGAATCTGATATTAACCCTTTATAGATCAAGTTAGCATTTTTGATTCTTTGCTTACCCCTTACAAATGGAGTCCCCCCCCCCCCCCCCGTCCCTCAGTGAGGTCTAGAAGCACAAGATCTATATTCAACCATCCAGCAAAGATACGGCTAAATGGCTGTACATCTTATTTTGGCATTTGACCAAATAGATGAGACCTTGAATGATATATGTTGTATATGAAGTTGGTTATGTTCATATCTTTTGTTTGTTGACTTTTTTTCCCTTTTTTTTTACGAATATGACTTGATAAAGCTGTTTTGAACATTCTACAATATAAAATAAGTAATAAAATCTGGTATGATTCTCGCTAATATCGTATCAAGTTAATATCGGTATTGTTTAATTCACAAAGCTGCAATATTGTTATTGTATCGGAAGGTAAAAAGTTGTATCGGGACACCCCTAGAAACAATACACCATTAATGAGGTATGTTTCGTGTTAACAAATGACTGTATAACATCTCTTTTTATCAAATTAAGGATATATAACAATAAGTTTTATCCTGAGTTAGAAATTTGGGTGAAAAAAAGTAACTGTAGATTTTGATGGTCTTTTGTCAGTTAAAACTAGATGAAAGAGCCAGCTGCTTATCTCTGCTCAGTATATCACCCTGCTGGGTTACATCCCCTGCTCTAAGCATAACAGTATCCTTCTTTAAAAAAATAAGCTTCTCTAGCTGGGATCAATTCAACAATTGGACAAGTAACTAAACTGTATTTCTGGTATTGCCCTTTTTGCCTACATCTCTAGTTCCCTCTAGACCAAATAAAAAGTAACTCCTAAATGTGCAGCAAACTTCAGGAAATTCATAAAATATAAGATATTATCACTAGGCTATCTAAAAGCAATTTAACTGATTTGTTTTCTGCATAACATGACCATTTATGTATGCATGTTCTTGCAGATTCCCCTCATGATGACACGGGACAGTGACTGTTGCATCATTACATGAAAGGAGCTACAGGCAAACTTAGTTTAGTACTGAAAATGGAAAGGCTACCCAGCTATCTCACCTGATAGAGAGCAAACACCAAAATATAAACAGTGTAAACGGAATAAGGCAGATGAGAGAGCTAGTTTTAAACGGTTGAAGACTATTTTTATAGCAGTAACTTTAAACCCTGACTCTAAGTTGATACCAACCCATGCTGGCAGCATTTAGCAGCTCCCCTGTGCAGAAAGGCTAGCTTAGTTACACAACAAAAAACATCACGGTTTAAAACATGACACACTGACAGACATATTTTATAAAAATAATAGTTACCCGTGTGAGCTGCTTGAAAGCGTAGGAGAGCATGTTTACAGCTCCAAGACCGGAGGGAGAAGCGGTGCTAGAGGCAAAGCTGACACAAATCCAGAGAGCCTCAAATTGTTGGCTACGGCTAGCTAGCCTCGTCGGACCGAAAGGGTCGATGGGTAATGTAGGCGGGTGGAAATTACATAAACCTTTTTCTTGTATATTTAATATATTTTGTGACCACCTCTAAATTGACGTTTATTTACAGAGAACCTCTCTGTTCTTAAATTATATTTAACTATAATACCATGAGTGGAAATAAGCATAAAAATCTATATTTTTAGAGCGAATATGAAAGACAACTGTTTGCACTTACATCACTGTCTGGTTTATAGGGAAAATTTTTTTATTATTATTTGAGAATATTTTTAAAAACATGTTTTTCTTTCTTCCTTTACATACAATTGCAAACAGACACATCTCGCCCAGACTATGCAGTTATTAAAGATCTTTCTCACCTGATTAGTAAACAGTGATTGATTACCCTTTGTCAGATGCCAGAGGGTAATCTATCAAAAGGCTCCAGGAGCTTTTGTTCTAAATGTAACAATCTATACTCACAGGTTTAACACAAGGTGATTCATTGTTACACACATAAAGCTCCCGTTTAGAGCGAGGCACAGTGCTGCAGAAAACGTATTTGCCACAATCACATTTCTTACGTCACACTTAATCATTTAAGATTTTCAAAAGATAAACTTAAGATAACCTGAGTAAATCATGAAACAAAATCACCATTAACTGTGATTGACTATTCACTTTTTTGTCACATGAAGTGTTTATATCTAGATCTCTGCAACAGATAATGTCTTGATGTATAGAAATAAAATAAAAAAATGAACTTAAAACAAGGTCACAGACATCTATCAATCAGAAAATGGTTAAAAACCTTACCAAGGCTGTCTCTGAGATTGGTTTTACCAAAATAACTCTTAGCTGCTTTTATACTATCCAGGAGATGAGATTCCAGAGTAACCTGTACAGCACTACAAAACTCACCTACCTGAGGCAAGATCCATGTTCATGATTCAGCAGTAGGTGAGAACATCGTATTCACATTGAGGCCGCTTTGCTGCTTCAAAGACAGGATAACTGGTGTGTTTAATAGAACCATGTGTTTTGCTGTCTGTCTAAAAACTCTGAAGAAGAGTGTCCAACTTGAATTCAAAACCTTTTATATGGCAAGTTACAGTTTTTGGTCACTTGCGTATCCCTTACAAATGGAGTCCCCCTCCATCTGTCAGTGAGGTTCAGAAGCGCATGATTTATGTCCAACCATTCAACAAAGATACTACTATGTGGCAGAATCATTTTGGCACAGACCAATTAAATGAGCCCTTGGATGATATGTTTCATACTCTAAATTAAGTTGGAAAATAGAGTTAAGTTAAGTTAAGAAAAAAGGTAAAATTCTAAGTAAAAAGGTTAAATAGCAAATTGAAAAGTAAAAAAGTTATGCTAAAAATGTTATGAGCTAAGTTAAAGATTACAAAAGTACAAACTTTATTGTAAATATTGTGCTTGTATCAGCATTAATAATCTAAGGTTATTTGTTAACTAAACAAATGTGTTTTTTTATTCTATCAGTGTTTTTCATGAATTTCTTATATAAGAACTTTTGTTATTTTTGTTTCATATTAGGGCATATCTTGTCATCACACCGACCTTGAATTTTGCCATAAAAATATACATATATTGTTACAAAAGTAATAAGGTATTGTCCAGTCCTTCAATAACGCTCTTATCCTATTTTTTTTATGTTCAAAGTATTTCATTGAGGGCTTTATAAAGGGGTTAAGCCAAAGCACATTTGGGTTTCTCAGAAGGATCACAATCCTAAGAAACCCCAACATAAGGAAGTTTTTGGAGTGGCCTAGTCTATGGGTCAGTGACCCCGTTTTAGACCAGGATTTGCTCTGTGTTCTAAAAGACCAAGTTGCTTTTGGTAAGAAGGCCGCTCACACTGAGATTTCTACCAGCTAACAGGCACTTTACCTTTCCACTGTCACCACATTATGGAAGGCTATATAGTGAAAAAAAAAACTGATACTAGTATGTGTCTTGTTATATAATAATAATAACTGAATTTTATTGATCTCACATTGGAGTTTACCTCTTTAACCCATCCCCTTAGGGAGCAGTGGGCGGCCATTGTGCGGCGCCCGGGGAGCAGTTTGGGGTTAAGGGTTTTGCTCAGAAACCCACTAGGCCAACACTCCCCTTTTACCTTGTTCCTATATTTTTAATCAGTAGAAGTAGTTGCAAAGTCAGACACTTCATGTAGTTAGGTGCTTTTGCTTATATTTCTTTTCTTCCCAACTGGCTTTATAGAATAACTTCAAGGATTAATTTTTGAATCTGAATTGTTTGTTCAAATGTAATTTACAATATATATTTGCATAAGAACTGGATTTTGTGTGTCATGTAATGTGCATTGAGATGAGATTCGTTCTGAAACATATTTTAAATAAATTCAATTAAAGTGAAATTTTATTTTAAAAAATTGCTGCATTAAAGGTATAGTGGAGGATGTTCTTTTTCCGGGTGGATCATCAAAATAAGTGGTCCTATTAATTGTCAATCAATCTGGTGGTATGTTTACATAAGGCCGTCCTACTTGCTTGTCCCCTTTTGCACTTACTGGTGTTATGCCGAGAAATACCTGCCTGCAGAGAATTACCTCCCCTCTCACACACTAATGAGCAAACAGATTGAAATATGAACGAGAAGGGTACTTTTAGACATATTCTTAATGTTTTCATATTTCTTATGCATGGATGCCCTAAAATTTAGAGTTTTGGTGGACAAATAAATTCAAATGAATACGATTTTTAATTGCATGGAGACACGTTTTAGTCGATGTGCTACAGTCTGTCCAGTTAATATATTCTCTGCTCAGTGGATGGCATTTTCCGCTTTTGCTATCAACGCCATTCTATATCGTTTTTGAATATGTTTCAAAGTTCCTTCCTCCATATTTCAAATTTCTTCTTATCAATGTGCGAGAGTTTAGGACAATGCACGCTCCCGTGACGTGATGAAATTCTTGGCTGGTAGGTATTTCTCGGCATTTATATGTCCAAATGGGCTTGTGAATGCTCTCGCACGAGTTTAACAGGCGTTCCTCGGGAGAGGGTTGGTCTTTTCAAAAATGTGCGACAATCCTCCACCATATCTTTAAGGGACCAGTGGATGAGGCAATTCAATTTGAAATCTTGGGAAATCTTGTGGATGGGTTTCCAAACTTGAAAATTCCACAAGACTAACTGCTAAACTTCCAACGTGCTTTCAGAGGAAACATCTGAAGGAGTTATCTGAAAGTTTCTAAAAACATTAGTCATAGGAAACCTGTAACCAAGTCATCATGTTTTGCTGAAGGATCAATAAATGATTACACAAATTGTGAAAATCAGTTTGTAACTAACATGAATCATTTCTTCTAAGCATTTTTGACTTATTAGTATAAAGGGACAAGAGAAATGAAATATTGATGATGTATTGTAATTGAGCTAACCTAAAGACTCAGCAAGCAATAATAATCTATTTTTTTAGGTGCAATATTTTTTTTACCAAACTGTAAGATATGTTCATCTTGAATCCATCATCTATTTCTCTAGAATTTAAAGAAGCTAAGTGATTAAAAGTCATGACATCCCTTTTGCAGCAGTCTATTTCTACAAGTATCAGCAGTTTCAAAAGAAGAAAACATTTAATCAAAACTGTTTCATGATTGGTTTCATGTTAAGATTTAGACCATTACCAGCCTCATCCAATATGTTTCAAAAACTGAAATAGTGTATCTGCAGAAAGTTTGAATATACGTTTGTCACCAGAGGGAAATACGTCTTAATTCATAATAGGGGCTTTGCGGAGTTAGATAACGCTCTACACAGCTTGTGCCAACCAATCATGCTTCAAGCAACAAATGAAAACATTCAGTCAGTGAGAGACAGACAGTTAAAGAGATTTTAATGTGCTTCTTCAAACAGTATATTGTATGCACATCCAGCATAGCATTTCTCATACATATAACTCTCTTATATCTGTGTGTTGAAATGTAGAGCTGAGAGGATGATTAACAGTCAGTCTACCATAACATTATGTCTGCCACACAGTGATGGCACAGCACAGCTGCCTGAGAGGCTCAGTCTGTACTCAGAGGGAATAATACCCTTTTGGGCTGTTTTTTAACTGAATTCTCCAACTGCAGAAAGTAATAACACAGAGAAACATAGATCTAAAAACAATAAACTCTGCTGGGGATGAGTACATTATTTACAGAAAAGAAAACATAAAAACTAAGGTTAACAAATACAAAGTTGGAAAATATATCAGAGAAATCCACCGTTTCCTATACAATCCATAGCTCTGATTATACATTATTTATATCTGCAGTTCACATCAGTTCGGAGGGGAAGGAACCCCTGTGTCTCCATCATAATCAATCGTTTAATAGTCCTCTTAATCAATGAGATCGTGAACATTGTTTTTCTTTTCCTTCTATCCGCTTGAGTCTCATTAATTTATCCAAAATAAGGGCGCTCACTTTGGAAGTTGTAGTCCGGACACACTTTTTGAACTAGCTTGTAGTCGATGCTTAAAAAAGAGATGAAGATGCAGATAACCTTGAAGGGTTTGGCACAGAGCCAGGCAGCATGAGACTGAGTGTGCTCCGTGAAGCAGGTCTGAGATGGATCGTACAGGCAGGGTTTGGATTTCTTCGACCTGTCGGTTTTCTCGTACTCAACCCGACAGTTGAGGGTCTTCCCCTCTTTGGGGTCGATGGTGGCCTGCCGCGTCTCCTGGATCTGGACGTCCTGCTGGATGTGGGGCTGCAGATGCTGCTGTGGTAGAACCTCAAACTCCACCACTTTTGATGGAGGTACGATGCTTACAGACACGTTCCCAAGGCTGGACGAGTTATGGCGGAAGTAAACGGTAAATGTACCGTTGATGTGGTCCACAATCTTTCCTGTCACCATCAGGCTGAACTTTACGGTCTTAACGCTAAAATAGAAGTCTCCCCAGCCGAAAATCTTCTTAGTCTTCATGTTGGTCTTTAATGATGGCTTACGCTTGGAACGGTATCCAGTCTGATCCAGTAGCAAGGACTG